CAAAGGTGAAAGGTCAGCCATGCTTGTGGAATGTGCGGTTCTGAGCGCATCTGTACAGAGTGGCCAGCAGGGAAGAAGCAAAGTGATCTGTGTTTAGGCAAAGGGCTTCCAGTGGGTCCACGGAGGAGACGAGAAGCACGAGGCAGTACTGTAAGGCACTCCTATGGGGAGAGACAGGCAAACCCAGCATGGAGGACGAGCGCAGGCTCCCGCGGTCTGCCTCCGGCTTTCTGGCCAGGAGGCCTGACACCGGCTCGGGAGGAGGGCGAGGAAGATCCAGGGGAATGGGAGAGGCTGGTCGACAGCGCGAGGGTCAGGAGAAGGGAGTCTTTGCTGTGCTAAGAGTTGCTGTAGCACCTGCCCTGGGCAACGACTGTGGCTTCCTTCCACGCCTTTCTAACAGGGTGGCATCTCTTTCCACAGGGAGGAACGAAAGCGAAATAGCAGTTGTCCCTTTCTTCAACCTGCACAATGCCTTCCATCACTTTGGAGGCCACTTGGCGAGGAAAGTGCCCCGTAACACGATCACTGGGAACCCGTTTTAAATAAAACCCCTGACAACCACGGTTGTGCTGAGGAGGGCATTCCACACTTCCGACTTTTACCTAGAGTTTAACAGTGACTTAGACTTGACCTTGGCCTGCACCCACTAAGACACACCAAAGAAGACCCTTCAAGTCAGAGGGTCTGAATACAATATAGAATTGTCTATCATGGGGAATTGCTGGGTGCTAGGCCTTAACTGTGCCCCATGCCAGAAACCAACACTTGTCTGCTTAAATTAACCGAGTGGGGCTTACTCACCCACCACCAGGCTCTACCTAGAGCAATGAGTTCTACTAGACGCGGGGTTAGAAGAATGGTCCAAGGTACACAGCACACTAACACCCAGCTGTTAGCAAGTACCAAGGGAAGGAAAACAGTACCTCTACGACTCAGTTCATGTCAAGGAGAGAGTGTTCATTTCATTGTGTTTCACCCTAAATTCTCTACTTTCTGCCATTATCTTAGAGTAACAAACGTATTGAGACAGAAAATTCAAGAAATAAGGGGGAAATTGTATGCATCTCTCCTTACTGGGAAAAGTAAAAAAAAAATAAATAAATAACCTCTGTATTGACTCTTGGCAGTATTAGAATCAAGAGCTGAAGACTGACATCCTAATCCAGTCACTTCAATAAAATGTGGTGGAGATGAATAATTCTGCCTAAACTTACGGACAGTGGCATTGGCTCCACCCTCAGTTGGGAGCAAAATGTATCTCGGCTTCCTCAGATAATGTCTCTCTTTGCATGAAGTGTTCAGTGGGGCATCCCGTCCTACCCCAATACAGTAATTTATGCATGGCGGGTTTTTTTGGCCAACAGGTAGAGAATAAACCCAGAGGTTTGGAAGCCAAATCTTTTCAAGGAGGCACAGGGAGAAACCCTCCAGTGTCAGTGTGCAGTGTGTACACACGCAGCGACAAACCAGAGGCCAGACCTCATCCAAGTGGACTCACTCTAGCTTTGCCAAAGTGAGGTCAACACCAGGGTTTTTGCTGCAGCCGGAAAAAGTCATGGCACAGTCCTTTTGCAGGAGCCAAAATACCACTGTTAGTTGGAAACCACAAATCCCCAACACTACCGATACTCCCTTTTTGGTGGAAACCTAGCCTAGTAGAATCAAAAAGCGATTCCCCTCTCAGCGAATCAAGCGGGCAAGCTCCAAACAGTATTACCCTGTAGTACTACAGATAGGAAAATAAGGGTAATACAGTGCCCTGAAAAGCAGGGAAGCAAAGGGGGATGACGAGTGTTGACATGGTTTTCATATAAAGAGGCTTTCAACGTTGGGGAAAATCAGCGCTGGAAAGAACACGATGCGATTCCAGTTGACTGCTCTTAAAGTACTTTGTGGCCTTCCCGCAGTGGTGCGAGTGAGGTCTATTTTGGGAACTGGCTTCTCTACTGCAGGGTTAGATGCCAACATTTTACCAGGGTTGGACGGTCTCACACATGTGTTTCTGGCACCGTTAGGAGGGATTTCCTCCAGTGATCCACCGGGGAATGGGCCTTTTAAGTGAAAAGTGGTTCCCCGGAGTCGGCCGCCAGCTCTAGGAGATTAATTGGCCATTTTCTCGGGTGTTTTATGTGCGAGTTATTTAATATGGGATGAGAGAGGGAATGTGAGGGGAAAGCAGGTATTAGCTTGGTCTTAGGGAGGTGGTAATCCACGGATTTGCTTTTGTTTCGACAGTTTCTAAGCAGTGGAACAATTACCTAACAGTGCACCAAGTCATTTGTTTGGGTGGAAAACAGTAAGGGTGTTCATGGGCTCTAAGGCGTTCTGGGTTGGAAAACGGCAATGTTGAACTCATGACGACCCAATTCCGAAGCTGGCTCCGCTCTGTCCTATCAGATTTGGGTGGTGGTGGCTGTGGGCCGTGTAGGGGCATACAAAAAGCAGAGAAAAGAGAAGTAGCCAGGAAGTAATTCTGCTTCTGGGTAGCCAATGGTGATTATATATATATATATATATATACACACACACATATATATGTATATATATGCATATATATGCATATATATACATATATACACACACACACACACACACATATATATATATATTTATTTTTTTTCTCTTCTAAAAATAAGCAGAAATTGATGTGGATAGAAGGTTCTCCTTAGGAGTTCCCAGGGAGGACCATATTTAGTGGGACCCTCTCCATGGGCACCGGTGAAGACAGAGGCCTTCAGAATAGGGATCCAGAATCGCACCCCCCTGGCCGCTCGGACGCTAGGTGCCTGTGAGGTGGGACAGGGGATTCTGTGCCGAGAGCCAGCGTGCTGGGAGGGGCGTCTGCACTTTGGGGCTCCAAATGCAGGGTGCGGGGGGACTGCCTCGCTGACAGTTGGGATCACGGATACATTAATTATGGTGAAGGCAGAAGTAAGCTACGGTGACAGGGAGCTGGGGGCGGAGGAAAAAGGCACTTTGCCATCGGAGCACATCTGTTTTATAATAAGCAGGTCTATAATTCTCTTGTGAAAGATCATGTTCTGCTATCTTCTCTGAGGCTGGAAAATATAAATACTGTGTTTCACGAAGGGGAGGAAAAAGGAGGAGAGGATCAAATTTGTTTGCCTGTTTGCCAAGTGCTTGTTTGAGATTTTTCCACCCTTTATCTTTTTGTGTGCAACATTCTCTGTAACTGGGGTGGGGGAAAAGTCAACCTGCTTTTCCAAGAATAAAAGGCTCCGTAAGGTCTCCTTGTGAAGGGAGCCTTGGCCTTTTAGCAAGTTTTTATGCCCTCGGTTACAGCTGCTGTAGGATCGGAAAATAAATGGAGCTTGTGGTCTGGGGCCCAGGAACTGGCAGTCTGCACAAGTCTGTCTGAAATGTCTGGCCTCTAAGTGGACGGAGGTATCAAGAGTTAGGATCTGGAGGGAGCAGGGTGTCGGGGCGGGGGGAGGGGGGCAGTGGCAATGGGGTTAAATGTATCCTGTACTTCCTGAGCCACTGAGGCTCTAGACTCTAACAGCAGTGAAACTACCAAACCTGGAGGGCACTGGAGGCATCTGCTCGGTGGCAAGAGAGTCTTCTTAGTCGCCTGAACATTGTTTCAGGATCAGTGTATCTTTCTGTTCTGGAAAGAGTTCTGGCGGGAGGATGGGAGCCATGATTTCCAGCGCTGTCCCATCTGGCATTCTGGTCACAGCCACTGGAGGCGGCTCCTGGGAGGGCCCCGCGCTGGGGGCGCACCACTCGGCCAAGCGGGGAAGCAGTTTCTTAGACTTCCTACTCCTGTGATACGATTTTAGCACATTCTGTTTCACTTTAAGGTGGCGATTATATGTGCGATTCTATATTTATTTAGACAATATTATTACATTGAATTCATTATATTTATAAGTTTGACACTATCTTCATAATCTAGCGTGGGGGTTTTGAAGTCCCATGTTACTTTGATTTTGTAAACAATTTTTAAAATTTAAAAGTGAAAGTGGAAGTGACAAAGCAAAGGTCCAAATGAAAGTGCAAACACGAACAATGAGAAATAAAGCATTTGAAATAAATGGGAAATGCCCACACAAGATTCTGTGAAAAGAAATTGAAGACCATCTCGTAGAAGGTATGCATTATCTCCGCCAGTCTGCAAACCGATGTATTTAACCACAGTCACAGGGAATCTCCTCAGGCCAGCACCATTACGACCTCATCAGTATTACCCATGAAACCCCGGGAAAACTGCTCTTCAGAAAGCTACGTTTTCAACCGACTACGGCGGGGGGCCAGCGGCATCAGGGGGCGCTGGGATTCATACCCGCAAACAGACCGACACATGCGGTCATTGGTCTCTGAGGTCTTTTTTCTCAGGAAAAAAACGGAGATGAACCTCAAACCCAAATCTCCTCATAAATTCGGGGGTGCATGCTTTCTGTCAGAGGGAGCACACATGCCTCATCTCTGAGCCGCGTGGCTCAGCTGAGGTGATCCCCACCTGTGTGGTAGAAACCGAGGTGACGGCTTCAGGGACACTGGGTCCTGGAACGATCCAGGCGTCGTTCCTGTGTCCTGAAGATTTTCATACAAAACAGACGGTGATGAGTATTTGCCTCAGTTACTCCGTCCTCTGCGAAGGCTAAAAATAAATAACATGAAAATAACCCGAAGTTCTGTGGTTCTGTAGGAGATGCTTCTTCCTGTGTCCTATGTACTAAAATGGCCCCTGAGAGCCAAAAAAAAAAAAAAGTCTGGACTCTAAAGCATTGGGTGTAAACCACGTTTTGCTTGGGAGCGAGCTGCTGAAATTCAAGGCTAAGTGTAATTCAGCTACTGGTAGTGTTCTGGAGCCACGGAGGCTTCACGACCTCTTGGACAGCGATTTGCACAGAACATACACACGGGACGTACTGGGATGCGTGGATATGCATGGGAATATACATCTCTATCTAGCGGAAGATGAGACATCCTCCTCTTCCAAAGGGATCTGGCTGGCTAGCTAGGAAGCCGCTGGCTCGGCGAGAGGTCAGTCCCTGGCCTCGGGCCCCCGCTGAGTCAGGTGTTCTGGTAGGACAGCTCGAACATATTGCAAGCCTCCTCCAGGCTCTCGTCCATGTTCAGCCTCCGCCAGAAAGATTTCTGCTTCTTCTGCAGCTCCCGGCGGACACACCTCGGGCAGGGGACAGACTTCTCTTTGCATTCGGAATGGAAAACGGCCCCACAGCTTTCACACCTGCAAAAGCCAACCACAGAGACGATGACCGAGGCGGGAATGAACAAGACACAGACACCTGACATCCAGTGGCCTCCGTGCAGCTCAGAGGACATTTGTTCTGGGGAGCCCTGCCACCGGGAAGAGAGATGACTCGTAGAAATGGGCTCTTTCCTTTTCCAAGATGTTCAAGATTGAATGTCACTTGAAAAAAAAAAAAAAAACAGACCTTTTTTTTTCTTTTTGATTAGAACTGGCTAGGGCGAGGCTTATGGCTTACAGTGGAGAGCAGTCAGCAGTCAACTAGCAATGGTGTGATCACGGGGACAATGGGCAGATCTCTGGAAGCTCTGTGGGTTAATTTCCCCTCCAATGGCCCTGGGGTAAAGGGGCAGAGAACGGGAGTGCTGTGTTCCACCAACTGCAAGCGCTCTGAACACCAGAGACAACCCCAGTGTGTGACCGCAGTGAAAATGTAGCTCCCCACTTATGTAAACACGGGGTAAGTGGGTCCCTGTCACTCCTTGCCCTCATTTAACAGTTTGGAAAGATAACAGGACACATTTTCATTTTCTGATTGTTATCCTCAGGTCTATTGTCCTTCTGAGTTTTCTTTCTTTCTTTTTTTTTTTAATTGGGAAAACCCCCACCACTGTAAGCCCATCTTTATAGCACAAGTGTGAAGGGTAAAGCACGGGAAAGTTGCTTAGAGAATAGTTTTAAAACACGCAGATACTGTAACTTATAGAGAGGAGGCATTCCAGGTGGATGACTAGTTCGCTGTCTGGCTTGGTGGAAGCCTGTGCAATAGTCCAAAATGGCTTGTTTCTGCTGCGGAGTCTTTAACAATGAGGAACTGACAAGCACAACGATGGCTGCCCAGGGGGTGGCTGGCCAGTGCGGATTACGGTGCCCATCCTGCCATCGCAGAGCGGCAAGCAACTATTCCCTCACCTCAGGAGCCCAAGGAATTGGTTTGACCAGCAGCAGTCCCAGGAGGGTCCAGCACTAGGCTGGGTTCAAAGACGACTATGCAGGAAGCAGTTCTCATGGCTCAGCTTGTGCTCCTGTTGCTTTTCCTCTGGCACCTTGGGCTTCCGTCCTGGGCATAAGATGGTCTTTGGAGCATCCTTCTCTAGTGTGCAACAGACTTAGCCTTGACATCATTTAGGATTCAGAAAGTTTGATGAAAGGAGGATCCTCCCTCCCACCTTTGTACCCAGGGAGTGAGAGACACTGGGAGTGGGGTGGCGTAGGGAGAGGCGCAGGGAGGAAGGCCATATTGATCAGCTGAGAGACCAAAAGACAGAAGCTTCACTGTACCCAGTAGTCTCTGCCCAACCTCAGCTTTCTGGGCAAGTAAAACAGAGAGGCAGTATGAAAGTAGGCATAGGGTTACTTGGCCTGACTTCAAATCCCACCTTCAAATCACTTTCTGGCTACATGACTGCTACGGACTGAATTGTATGGCCACCGTCCCACCCGGCCACTCAAGGCCTATGTTGAAGCCCTAACCCCCAGAGACACTGCCCGTGGAGACAGGGTTAAATCAGGTCAGGAGGGTGGGCCCTGATTAGTGTCCTTATAAGAAGAGACGTTAGAGGGCTCTCTCTCTCTTCTCCCCCCATGTGTGCACCCAGAGGAAGGGCCGTGTGAGGAGCACAGCAAGAAGGTGGCCATCTTGCAAGCCAGGAAGGGAGCTCTCGCTGCAAACCACGTCCTGCTGGGTCTTGCTCTGGGACTCCCAGCTTCCAGAACCATGGGCAGTAAATATCTGTTGTGTGAGCCCCCCTGGGCTGTGGTATTTTGGAGGACAGCCTGAGTAGTCTGTGACAGTGACCTGGAGTAAGTCATTTCACCTCTCTGCACCTCAATCACCTTGTCTTAACATGCCCCTCAGAGAGGTCGTGTGAGGCTCAAAGGGAATAACAAATGAAGTGTGTAGCGGAGTTCCTGCACAGGAATACAGCTAAAACTGCTCCTTCCAGGGTGAGCAGCCGCCTCCGGGTGTCTTTGGCGACTCTTCCTGCAGTCTGATGGCACCGATGTCACCACGGTGACCTGAGGACATCTTGGATCAACCCCCTCATGGCACAGATAAGAAGACTGAGATTCTAAGAAGGCTAGTGATTGTCTCGTGAGGACACACGGAGTTAGGTTGTGACTAGAACCCGGGACTCCGACAGCCCAACCGTGGCTTCCACGGAGGCCGAGTCATGTGAGTGAGGGGAATGCGCCATCCTGGAGGGAAACGTGGGCTTCCAGTCAGAAGACTCCTGTTCCGATCACAACCCTTTCTTTGAGTGACCTTGGGCAAGTCACTGACTTTCTCTGGTCTCATTTGTAAAATGCTGCTCACAGTGACCTCCTTCCTACTCACTGGGCTTCTGTGGGACACACATAGGTGACCGTATGTGGAATGAGCAGGTGAACGCGACATCACCTTTCATGGTGACTCTTGTCCCTGACTTCCTCGTGCTGGCGCCACACCGGTCAGGATAGCCGAGCTGGCAGAATCTTCTCCCGCGTCTCCCGGCTCTCAGCCCCTCCCTCCTTCCAGGCGGATGAAGGTTAGACCCGCGTCTCCTCATGCCTCTTCTCTGGGCCAGCTCCACCCCAGTGGCAATGGCTTTGTCCTCCCTGGGTCACACCTCTGTACCTTCCTGTCACTGAAGTGACACTAATGGTAGCCTTATCAAGTAAATTTCCTCCTTCTTGCCCCTTTGCCCTGCTGAGTAAGTGATTTACACACCTAGGGATATTGCCCTAGGGCAGTGATTGATAAGGAGAAAACCATGGGGTTCCTTCAGTACCACTCCCTTATCTCTGCTGATACTGGCACCCCCCACCCCTGCACCCTGCTCCGGTGAAGAGGTTGAGTCTTATTGGGTATTTCTGGTGCAACAAACACTCATGGGGTGGCCTAGGGGCTGAGTACACCTGCTCTTTCTAGCCAAAGGTCAGTAACTGCAAAAAAGTCCAAGATAAAAAATTAATGATTTCAGAATGTACCCAAGTCCTATTTTCTAACCATTTGTAAGCCAGCAGTCACTTTTGAACTGTATAATGGACAGACTGATCAATGACCTTCCCAAATTCAGACAATCTATTATTAACTTTCCCCCTGATTTTTTTTATAAATGAAAAGAATAAGGTCAGGAAAAGGAAGGAGGAAGAGAAACTGTTTCTTACATAAAAGTTATGGTGCTTTGTAAGAAAAATGTGCAGGAAAAATAAAGTGTTTGCCTTAAAAAATGCAATATATAGGCATGCTCCTCTTTGAGAATATTTAAAAGGCCCTTTCACTTTAAAAGAATTCACTGGCTCTTTAGTGTTTACTGAATTTCCTGACTGTATTTAAAATATGATTTTACAAACAACTTTTCAGGAACATAGCTTATATATAAGGTAAATTTACCAATGCAATCATCCATGCAGAAAATTTCAACAGATAATGAAAGAGAAATGTCCTTCAGTGTTCCCAAGTGATAAATCAAATGAAAGCCAGCCAGTTTCATCTTCATTTCTGAGTTCCCCACGCCCAGCAATCAGCAGTTTCGCTGCCTTTCTGCTGTTGGTTGTACACCACAGCGAACAAAGACCGAGGTCTTCCTTTCCAGTGTCCCAGAGAACGCAACTACAGGGAGACATATATTTGCTACTGACCAAAGCCATCCAGTGGGTTATTCCTGAAAACGTCTGTTGCTTCACTGAATCCAGGGATCTCAACCTCATACTGTTGGCATTTGGGGCCAGAGAGTTAGTTCTCTGTGGTGCAGGGCTGCCTGGCACTGCACGGTGTTCAGCGGCATCCCCGGCCTCTTCCCAGCAGATGCTGGTCACGATCCTTCCCCACCCAGGTTGTGACAACCAACGGTGTCTCTGGACACGGCCACAAGTCCAAATGCCCCCTGGGAGGGGCAGGGAGATCATCCCAGTTGAGAACCATTGACCTAACCTATCTGGAGAAAGCATCGTGGAGGAAGCACCCCGGGGGGACTGAAACAGCGCCCCCCACTCCCGGTGGAATTCGCAAGTGTCAACTGCTAGCTTATACCAACCAATAAGGCCCAACACAGTGTTACGGATTCATTTCATTTTCACAAATATATATATTTTTAATACATCAATCGGTTAAAATAGCTGAAACTCACAGGTGTTAACCACCCCATGGTTTTGAAAATTAATTTAGAACATCATATAAGAAGTCAATACCCACGACACAATTCTGTGCATGCCATGGGAACCCTTGACTTTCTATCAAGTCACTCTGATTTTCTGGTCTTCCTCAAAAGCCATCCTGGTGGTTGGCCCTCAGTCTTATTTATTTACTCCCTGGCCAAGAATACTGGGGCAGTTTCTCTGGAGTGGTCTTTACTTTGTTATGTCCTATGTAGGCCATCTAGCAAATCTAAACCAAAAACTTCTACTTGCCCCACAAAATAAATTGCTTTTATGTAACTGGGAAGCAGTTAGGTTCCAGCAACATCTACAATGAAAAGGAGGCCAGAAAATATTAAGGAGGACACTTACTGCAGAGAGGAGGGCTAGACTGGAGTGAGGAACCCTGAGTTCTTGGCCCAGGCTGGCCCCACTGTCCCTGGGGCCTTGGGTAAGTTACTTCATCCCTGAACCTCTCGTTCTCCACAGAAGTAAAAGGGGAGGCTGGATTATCTAAGGTCCTTCCAACTTGCAGATTTTGTGCAGGGCAGGGGTTTGGGGCAGGGAAAGGCTGTTCTGGGTCTTACCCTTCTCTTTTCACATTTTCTTGCCCCCAAGTCTGTGGATGGATGAGTGGGAATTCAGCCTTGCCGGCCACTCCTTGGAAAGCCTCAAACTGACAAGCTGGGACTGAATGTGAATGTGAAGTGAAGTGAAGAGCATTACTTTAAATTGTATTTATTTGCGGTGGTTAATCAAACCATGAAACAGCTTACAGACTAGTACATACAGCTCTGGTTATCAGGAATTTGGCTAAAAGGAGCTGACTCTGCCTCTTTCTCAGAACACCTCAATTAAAC